AGCCATCCTGAGCAGAAACAGAAGACTAATTTTGAGGCTTTCCTCATGTTACCTAGCTAAATGTATTGTAATTCTCAGCTCAAAGATAGGCTTACTGTACAGGAAAACCAGAGTACACAGAATCATGAAGTGGAAGGGATCAGAACATTCAGAGGTGTCTGTGGAAACTGCTTATCTCTCAAGCCCACTGTGACTCCCCACTCACCCGGTTGAGAAGTGCTGGGTCAGCAATTTGACTTCCCAGTGTCCGATTCTTTCACTGACTGCCCTGCTATGACTGTTGACATCTCATGTATGTTTTATTCACTTTTCCTGCACAGGCACACATAGATTGGTATCTATATATACAACTTGCCAAAAAGTGGGTCCATATTATAATATTGTCCCATCCTATTTTTAAAATATTTTTAAAAGCTTTTATTTGGGAATAATTTTAGGAAGACCGAAAAGTTACCAAAATGGTTCAGAATATGTGCACTCTCTACACAGTTTTATATAGTTTGAGCATTTTTATAACCAAGGCATAGTTTTCAAAACCAAAAAATAAACCACAAATATTATCCATTGGTAACTTCTTTTTATCATATATACTTTAAGTGTTCACTCCCAGAAGCAAGAATTTAGTAGTGAATTGAATGTTTCACACTTTACTTATTACCTTTTTGTTTCATCTATTTATTAAAGTATCATTAAACATTCCTGGAACTGAAAAGATGGCTCAGTGGTTAAGAGCACTTGATGCTATTACAGAGGACCAGAGTTAGATTCCCAGACTCATGTATGGGAGGCTCACTGCTACATGTAACTTTAACTCTAGGGGACCCAACTTTCTCTTCTGGCCTCCTTGGTCACTTTCACATGTACATACACACACACACACACAAAAAAAAAAAATTTAAAACTCTTTAAGCACTTGGAAATTAATGGTAGGGGTCCTGTGTGCCAGCAGCATATGTGGATATCAGGACAATTTCATGGATTCTCTTATCTCCTTACACCTTTATGTGCTTCCAAGCATCTTAATCAGGTATCTAGGTTTGCATGTGGCTCCTTTTATCCGTTGAGGCACCTTGCTGGTCCTTATTGAACACTTTTGAGTACATACTTGAGTGACCTAATCTTCCTATATCTCATAAATTCCTTAAATGAAATCCTTACATATGAACCTGAACTCCAAGAATACGACTTTATGCATCTTGCTCCACATGTATAACAGCATGATTTTATGAGTATGTTCACTTTGTGTATAGATATACTCACTGATACTTAAGTAGAAGAAGCCAAAGTCTGGTTCATAAAAGTCGGCCCCATACACATCGAGGTTTTCATGTTGTATAGTGAAATAAAAGCGAAGCAAATCTGGATTCAAGCAACTAAATCAATGCCTTCCCTTCTGTGCTGCAGTTCTATAATCCGCCATCTTTACTCTCTGTACTGCTAAATCAGTTGATGTATCATCCTCTGTAGTGTTGTGATCATTAACTGTACTACATACTTGTGAAAATCCATTAGAATGTCTAGCTTATAGACCAGTGGTTCTCAACCTAGAGGTTGAATAACCCTTTCACAGGAGTCTTTTAAGACCCTTAGAAAACACAGATATTTACATTGTGATTCATGACAGTAGGAAAATTACAGTTATAAAGCAGCAACAATTATAATTTTATGGTTGGGGGTCACCACAACATGAGGATCTTTATTAAAGGTTGCAGTGTTAGGAAGATTGAGTAGCACTACTCTAGACCTTGACAAATGCCCCTTTGTTTTCTTCTCTAGTCTCTCAGATTTACAATTTATACAAAAATGACCTATAGATATCATGTATATTTTATTTTCCATCTGGTGTTTGCTTAGGATCTTCAAAGAGGAGATTGTTATCTTAAAGAACATGACCAGACACTATTATAAATAAAACAATGAAGCTTACTCATCCAGGAGTCCTCATTAAGTGTTACCTCTAAATCACAATGGAAGTTATGCTTATCCTTAGAAGCCCAGGAAATTCTAATCTTTACATTTGATTGAATTCACTTTAGATGGGGTTCTTTATTTATCATCTCATGTAGCAGCAGTAGGACAATGGTAGACGAAGCACACCCAATAGCTCAATGATGTTTTGGGACCAAGTTCTCTCAGTCTGGTCATAATCGTTAAGTAAGTTTGTTTGTTTGTTTGTTTGTTTTCACTTTACCCCTGCCTCCTTTAGATAAGAAGACAATTAGAATAGTCTGCATGCATCAAATCGAGACCATATTGTACAGAGGTAGGGAAGACCCCTTCTGTATCTCTGGTACCACCCCTCAGTTCTCATTTAGCAGTACTAGATTTAAATGCCCTGCTTAGCCAACAACATGAAGGGGATTAGGAAGATCCAGAGTGGACTTAGTTCTCACATGTAGGAGCTTATGAGTCACATAGGGGAAGGATGACATAGCAAATGCAGTGCTGCTTCTCCAGCAAATAGAAGAGAAGGACATGTGGCAGAGTATGTATATAACCTTATGCTGGCATTTTCTGGAGTAACAAAGGCCAATTTAACTAGTCTTTTAAATGACTGATTATATTCTTCAAATTAGTCCTATCTTTATGGACAAAAAAACCCAAACAAACAAAAAAACACAAACAAACAAAACAAAACAAAAGAAAAATAAAGAAAATGATGAGTCATAATAATTGACATCTACGTAGGTTTAACTTTCAAAACATGCAGCATGTTTATTATTTAATTACATCTTAATTAATTCTGTGTAGTAGTTCTAATAGACTGAATGGCTGATGGTATCACAGCTTAATAGCTGGAAGATGCAAGTTTGGAGACACTGAAGCGATTTTCTCTGAGTGGTGTACCTGGTACATGACGATCGCTAGAACGAAAGCCCAGGTTTCACAGAAAGAAACCTGCTTTTCTTCTGTGGCCCCAGGCAACCTTTCAAAACCATGGAGCCACTTAAAGGCTACAAAATGGTCTAGAGGACTGTGAAATTATGAGGTAAAGATTTATGTGCTATAGATAGAGACAAACATTTTGAGAAAAGACAAGTCTCAAAGATTATTTTTAAGGTGAAAGATCTTAATTTGTGGTAAAAAAAAAAAGAGATTTTTCTGTTCATTTTACATATCAATCACAGGTTCCCCCATCCTCCCTCCTCCCACCCCCCCAGCCTTCCCATCCAACTGACCCCCCATTCCCACCTCCTCCAAGGCCAAGTCTCCCATGGGGAGTCATCAAAGCCTGATACACTCTAAGTCCCTCCTCCCTGCACCAAGGCTGAACAAAGTGTCTCACCATAGGCACCAGGCTCCAAAAAGCCAGCTCATGCTCCAGGGACAGGTCCTGGTCACACTCCTGGGGACCCCCCAAACAGTTCAAGCCAAAATACTGCCTTGCTTATCCAGGTGGACTAGTGTAGATTCAGTAAATGATGAATCAAGAGTTCTACTTCCAGAGCCCCCATGGTACTGGAAAGTCTTGATTCGTCATTTAGTGACTCTACTAGCATCTACATCAGTCAAGGGTCAGCTGGTATAAATGTGCATGATGTCCCCTGCTTACCCTTTTGGAAGAGTTTGGGAATACTCAAGCTTCTCATATGTAGATGTTCTTGGGCAGTTCTTTGCTAATTTTAAGAGAAGTCTTTCATGAACCCTTGTATCCACCTTAGTACAACGTTGCCCATCCCCACTTCCTGTCAATGATCAAGTTCTAATGTTTCATTTGGGAAAGATGTCTGTAAGCACCAAAAGTAAGCATAATAACCTCACTTTCATACAAAAATATACATTCAAATAAGCAGATACGTTTCTAAGAATATTCAGATTTTTGCTTACAGTGCACCGGTATTACTGTTAGGACTTAGCAGTATAACAGAAGAACACACACACACACACACACACACACACACACACACACACACACACACACAATCATGGGGATTATATTTTAATTGGAGCAGTGTATAGAAATAGATAGTGATGAATCATTGGTATAGAATCTAAATTTTATTCAGGGAGTAATCATGGAAGATCTTCAAAAGTAGCAGTGGGCCAAAATTGAGAACTTCATTGGTAACTTGGTAAAATTCTTCTTGGAGGAGAATTGGTAACTTGGTAAACTGGTAACATTGGTGAAATTCTCTGGGAAAGAGGGAGTGTGGATAGAAAGTCTTTAACACCATGGGGAGGTTGGGAATGCTTATCAACATAAATTAGGAGATTAGAAAACGCATGGGCAGATCAAGAGAGACAGATATGTAATCAGAAGAGGAACGTAGGTGTGGTAGCCAGAGGAGGGTTTGAATGTATTCCAGTGTGCTTTTATGTTTTAATGTGGCATTTTAAATAAATACTGCCATAAAAGGATTTCATGGAGGCCAGAGACTCTCTAATACAACATCCCTCCAGCAACAGAGCATGAACTGACCTGAGTCATCAGTCTGATGCTGTGTTTATTGGCCACTGTGCTGTCTCAGCTGAAACCTCGAGTTTCAATTTACTCACCTCTAAAATGAGAACAAAGATTTTGAATTGGAGATGTTGCCATCGTGTTTCATTTCCAATCCACAAAGAAGCAACCTTTATCTTATTAAGGATCATAGTGTTCATTCCAGTGGAACTTCCACCAGAGATTTTAAAATACTGTATGCAAATGTGTTTCTCTGCTTTTCAGTCAAAGATCCAAGTGTGGAGGTGAATTCTAATAAAGATGAAAATATGGCTACAAAATTTCAAGTCTTATGTCAGTTTTTGAAAATCTTTTCTTTGGGGTTTAGAAGAGGAAAGCTAAATAAGAATTTTTTTTTTTGTGTAGGATTTTGTGTAGACTTGTTTGACATATCAGGAAAGCGTGATTCAGGTAGCAATGCAATAAAATAACAATGGAATTTGAACAGTAGGGTGATATTGAGTGATCACTTGGAGAGACTGTGAGTCTTGTGTGAACACTTGCAGATTCCAAGGGAAATGTTCGTTGACTCTGAAGGGTCTATCTTCTTCCCTTCTAGACTCACAATACCTAACTTGTCGGATGCAAAACTGCACAGACGCCAACAGAAATAAGCCTTTCCCAGGCTACATTGACCCTGACTCTTTGATTGTTCAGGATGACTATGTGTTTGTTCAGGTAAGAAACCCCTACTTCTGCTTATTGGCTCAAGGCATTTCTAGTTTCTGTCTTGCTATAACCCTTTCGGCCTGCCTGCACCGCCTCAAAGGGAAGAGAGACATGGATCAGAGGGGGAGGACTAAAAGGACAAAGAGAAAGGAGAAGGTGGAAGGGGAAGGAGAGGGGGAGGGAAGAGAGTAAAGGAGGTTGGAAGGGAGAAGGGAGGCTTAAGGCTATTCCTGAGCCTACTGTCTGTAGTCATTTACCAACCTATCTAAAAAGTGCTGCATTGACCCAGGAGTGATATACACTTCTATTTATCTGTTTCCCAATAAACCCAAGTCATTAAATAAACTGTGAAGCTATGTCCATTTCTCCTTATCAGGGAAATGATCATCTCTTCAGCCCCATCCTCAGTATCACTTTAAAAGAAAAGAAGGTGAAACGGAAATGGTGTGATGGATGAAGGTGGGACTAGGCAGAGACCAAATAAGAACGATCCCCTGGCCCCTGGTATGGTCAGGAACCACTGCAACTCCCAGGGAAATGTGAAATAAATAATTTCCTTCTCCTAAGTGAATGGAAACCATTTGAGAAGTTGAGATTTCATGAGTAGTGACAGGAGACAGGCAGTCACCAGGAACAGCTTCATTTAGCTCTTGAGGACAATTTTAGTTTCCTTTAGTCAGTTCATCTAAAAGTCATGTTATTACTTTTCAGGGGAAGAATGAAAAAGGTATAATTGCTGAATAGGTGGATAAATGTATATTTACAGCAAATTAAGTGTATACATCAGACAGTATTATAAATGTATTTATATTATAAATGTATTTATATAATACATAAGGGTATACACACATTACAGTTAAGGTACATTCTAGACACAAGTTTATTTGAAGAATAAATTCATATCTAATCCTATGCATTGAAAGAAGACTGCCCAGCATCAGCCTATATAATTTTGAAATGTTTCACAAGTGATGATACACACATCCCTGTTCCCTTTTCTTCAGGGAAGTGTGTAATGAACACTTAGATAATTTCAAGTGACATTCAAATGGTTGCATGTGTTAGTCCCGTCCCATTCATTTCTCTACCAGTAATGCCGTCAGGAATATTTCTCTGATTTCTGGCAGCAGTTTATATTCCACATATCTGGCATACAAATCAAAGTCAGAATTTATATTTAGAATTATGAGAATAACCTCCTGTAACCCATTACTTCCACACATAACACTGAAGAATGTCTCTTTCCAGGCACTCCCCTGTGTCTGATGATCATTTACCACAAGCTATGTTGACATTCTAAGTATGCAAACTCCAGTGACATTCAAACTGCAGATACTTATATAGGTCATGATTGGCTCTAAAGAGAAACATATTGTCAGAGGTGCCTTCTATTCTGCCTAGAGTAGTATTCAAGTCTGGATAGAAACCACACCGCATCTTCCTGTTCTGCAAGCCTTCAGTATTCATTGACCTGCTTTGGACAAAACAGTGCCAGTTTCCATGGTTTTCTTCCAAAAGATAGAGACCTAGAATTAATTTGGAATCCAAACCTGGAGTGGCTTTCTGCTAACATACCCTTAGGCATCAGTGTGATGCCATCAAATAGGAACCTTGTGTGGAGATGTGTAGCTTAAGTTTTCCGATGGTCTGTATGTTAAATGTGTTGTTGATTGGTCAATGAATAAATCACTGTATGGCCGTGGCAGGCTTCTTGTTAACTGTTCTTACAGCTTAAATTAATCTATTTTTATTAATCTATACCTTGCCACATGGCTTGTGGCTTACCGGTACTTTACATCTTCCTTGTCCTGATGGCGGCTGGCAGTGTCTCTCTCACCCAGCTTTCTGTTCTCTCAATTCTCTCTGTTAGTCCGGCCTATACTTCCTGCCTGGCCACTGACCAATCAGTGATTTATTCATTGACCAATCAGCAACACATTTGACATACAGACCATCCCACAGCAGAGATGAGAAGGCTTCTCTCTACTGTTGAACCTGGACTATTTCCTTCTAGCCCAATATGGTCACTTGTGTGGCATGGACTTGAGGCTGAAAAGCTAGACTGATGAAGGACAGTGAGCTAATATCTCCTGAGGCTTCTAGCATTGGGAAGAACAGAGTTAATACAGTTTCTTAGCTTTAGAGTACATTGCAATTTTATATCTAGTACACACAATATAGATATCTAGATATACATTATAGATTAAACATACATATAATTTATATATGTGTGTATATACATGTGTATATTATATATGATAATATATTATATGATTATAGTGTATAGTATATTTTATATATATAGAAATGACTTTTCTGTGTCAGTGTTTTTCCTTTCCTGCTTTGATGTCTGTGCACCACGAGCCTGGTTGAGGCTAGACAAGGAGGAAGTTAGATCTTTTGGAACTGGAGTTACAGATGGTTGGGAGCTGCACTCTGGGTGCTGGGAATCAAACTCCAGTCCTCTGGAAGAGCAACAAATGCTCTTCACTATTGAGTCATTTCTCCAGACCCATCGTGCAAATTTTCAGATTACATTTTTGTCTATTAAATGGTTGTTTTTGGTCTTCTGAGCAGCCCTGTACAGTGAGTGAGTTACTTTTCTGGTAAATGTCAACTACTGATAGCTGTCCTCCGCAGGCAGTTTTGGTGCGGTGTGGCAGCTTCATGCAGGCAACTGTTCTTCTGTGACTCTGAATGTTTTCAGTAGCTCCTCTCACCACCTTGTTTCTGTGATCCAGCTGACATCTGGAGGAAGACCACATTACTACGTGTCCTACCGAAGAAGCACGTTTGCACAAATGAAGCTCCCGAAATACGCTTTGCCCAAGGTACACACTGGGTTGCTGTTCTGACTGTTCTCCTCTCAGGTACAGTCGTCCTCCACCATATTCTCAGGGTCACTGCCAGCTTCCAGTAATGAGTTCCCTGCTCCATCAGCCCCACTTCTGCATCTAGACTTCCCAGTTCCTCGTGGGTAATTCTGTCTCCCTTTATCTGTGGGTCCTTCTCCTGTTCTCTTGCCCTCTGATTTTTTTCTTCCTTTGGAATTCTTGCTGTGTGGGCATCTGGATAAATTAATGCTCTTGTTTTTGCCTGTCAATATTAAATTTTTCCAGGCAGTATGTTTGTTTTTAAATCAAAACAGAAAACAACAACAACAAAATGTTCACTTTATGTTACAGCATGGCAGTTGTTCTTAGTGGATGTTAGGAAACTGGTTATCTTCAGAGACCTGAGGTACAGCTAAGTGTTCTGACCTCTCTAGCCATTCCCCTTTGAAAACGGTGGAAAAGAGAAGTGAGAGACCCTCCTCCCTGGCATCCTCAGGCTCTGTCCGCAATTCTGAAAAACTGTGTTAATATGGAGCGCCATCTAGTGGAAAATAGATGATGTGGCCTTTCAAAAATGCCTATTAGAAATCTGTTTTCTGTGTTGTATTTTAAGTGGCCAAAATTTAGTCGATTGTAGCTTAATTTTCGAGCAAATGAGATGTGTGTGTGGGGGGGAAAGGGATAATAAAGTGATTTCGTTGATCTAAATAGAATTATAACTCAACTTTGAAAGATTTAAGTTGAACAAAGTATATAATGAGATTTATTTTGAGTCGAGTCTTGTCGTTTAGTGAAATTCAAATGTAGAAGGAAGGCTGAGAATTGTTAAAATTGTCCGTGATAGTCTCTTAGGAGGGATCCTGAGGAAAATATCAATTCACGGGGAAAAAAAAAAGGAGTACCCTCCCTGGGCCGAGTACTGAGTACTAAAATGAATTGTGATTCATTCACTAAAATTTGAAGAAGACAACTTGAAAGATTTGTACATTTAAGAACAAGATTTATACCCAGTACGGTGAGATGCCCTGGTTCAAGAAGGATGCAGAATTGAGCCTAAATTAGGGAACTTCAAATTTCATTCATTCATCACATGCTCAAACTTGGGTCTGCATATTCTTAGCAGAATAATTTCAGTCAAAACCAAATTCTATTTGCCACACAGGGAAGGTTAGAACCCAAATTTATTGGTATCCATACCTGTGATTTTTGTGATTTTATTCCCTGGCAAGTAAATTAGTGACTCCAATTGTTAAAATGTAGCATGCTCACCACCCCACCAAATTTGTTGTGCTATCAAAAAAAAAAAAAAAAAAATGGAGGAAGGCCTCACTGGTCTCGGAACCCTAGCAAGGTAGTTTAAACTTAAAGAGGCTTTTGTGGATAGACTGCTGCAGACTGGGGGACAGGTATTTTATATTGCTTGTTCATAGTCATCACAAAGATCGCTGTTGACAGCTCTCCTCAGTGGCCTCTAGACAATCTAGAAGGCAATGTTTCCTTTGGAGCTGAATTGGCCATCTGCCCCCCTCCCCTGCCACCCAGATGATCATACTCCATGACTTATTTCATTTGAGTTCTCAGGGTAAATGCAGTGATTAATTTGGCTTGTTACTGGAAAAAAAAATGGAAGTGAATGTAACAAATAAATGGATTATTTGGTCCAGGTGGGTGTTTATTATGTAAAGCAAAGAGAAGCTTCATTATAATCCCATTATAGCTTCAAAGAGAAGCCCCAGCATGGGTGGAGTGATCTGCCTCAAAGGTGCTGTATTACATGGCCTTCTGTCAGAACCAGGGCTGCACCTACAGGTAAACAAAGCTTCACGCTGTCCTAAGGAATGGAGACACATCAACTCTCTCCTGCTCAAATGTTTTTAATCACCTACTGCCGTTGTATCAGATGTTGAAAGAGCAGAATGTTGCCTTGGGCTGTGTTTAAACAATTAATAATGGAGAAGAAAAACCAACAAAGAGTGATGGCTAAATGTTGTCATTGCAAGTAAGAGTACGTGGCTTGTTAGGCCGAGCGAAACAGTGACAGTTCTTCCTTCCCCTAACTTACTTGGAGCCTACTCTTAGCAACTCCAGTGAGATAGATGAGGTAATACATACCAAAGTGCCTCAAGTGTTTTCGAGGATAGACACTCTATAAAAGCAAGGTAATATTATTATTACTATGGATCTAGTTGTCTCCATAGTGGAAGATTGATGGGTACCAGGATTCAGGGGGTACAAAGGATGCTCAATTTTAACAGCAGACCTGACTTCAGACCTGAGTCTGTCACTAACTTGCTTAGAAACCTCAGCTATCTGGGTTTTATTACTTTTTCTTTTATTCATTTTTTAAAAAATAAAGAGCTTAGATTCAAAACAATATTTTCCCCAATTTTTCATTCAGCTTAAAATATCCTTAGTGATATATTGGAAAAATTTGGTCCTGTAGTCAAATAAGTTTAAAAAGAAAGTAAACTTCAATCCATGTGACTTCCTTAGAGACTAGGTGGAGGTCACTAATCTGAATGGTTCATGAATGTCCTATGAGCAACAACAAAACTCTTTAGTTCAGCATTAATTCAGTAGTTTACCACCATGCATGATGGAATAAACCAATAATAACCCCAGACTCTTGGAACTAGAGACAGGTTATCAGTAGTTTGACTCCAGGAGCTGGAGACATGGTTCAGTAGTTGAGTTTGTGCTGCTTTTCCAGAGGACCTGAACTGAGTTCCCAGCACCTGTATCAAGTATGTCATGACCATCTCTAGCTCTAGCTCCAGGGTATCTGACACCTTGTTTTGACCTCCAAGAGTACCCACATGTGTGGTGTATTCATAAAGATGTACACATTTATCCACTTAAATGAAATAAAAATAGATCTTAAAAAGAAAAACGGTTTGAGGTCTGCTTAGATGACATGGTGATTTCAAGGCCAGCTTGGTTGTAGAGCTGACTACATAGCAGGATTCTATTTTATAAGCAAACAAACAAACCCAGATGAATAAATCACCACTGCTAATAAGAGCAAAGTGTCCTAACAAAGAAGCTTCCACCCCCCATTGAAAAATACATTACAATCCAGTAATGCTAGTATCCTATAGAACAGACTCTGCAAGGTGCTCCAGTAAAATTCCAAATAAGAGTCTGTATTGGTTCAGAATCATGGGAATCGGTGAAAAAGTAAGAACACATTTTCTTAATCAGGAGTTGAGGAAAAGTTAAATAAATTACAGGTGTATCAAATCTTTAGGACCAGCATCATCGTGTAAAGTCTGTTTAGTGAAATAACATAAACATAGAGATTGGTTTGCAATCTTTATCTAGACATGGTCGTTTTACCTCATTAACATCACATGACATGTTCTCCCAGTGACCTTGTTCAAGCCATTTAGAAGAGCTGTGTTTTCAATACTGTCTTAGTTACTTGTCCTGTTGCTGTGGTAAACTACCCTGACCAAAACAACTGAAGGGAGAAAGGGTTTATCACAGTTGAAGGCTGCACAGGGTTGAATCCTTTCAGCAGGGGCCTCAAGCAGCTGGCTGTGTTGCATCTGCTTTCAGGAAGCAGAGAGAGATGAGTGTTTGTGCTCAGCCACCTTTCCCATTTTTATTTAGACCAGGACAGAGCCCTTAGTGTTATTCCCACTCAGGGTGGGTCTTCCCAAGTCAATTAATGCAATCTAGAGAATATATGGTATTCCCAGAGCCTTATCCCCAAGGTAATTCTGGTCAAGTTGACAATTAATGTTAGCTGTTATCTACAAGTACCAAATCTCCACAATGGACTGTGAAGTGTGATCTGTATAAGAATGACCATAGTCTCCCAGGATTGTGTTTTCAATTCTGTTATGTGAGTCAATCAAAAGTTCACTGTTACTGAAATTCATACTGAAACCCATGGGTGGGAATTGGCTATGCTAGGCTCAGCTTTCATTTGAAACAATTTAACAGAAATCCAGGACTACAACATACTTAAAGGGAGGAAACATAAACAGGAAGCAGTTGTTCAACAATTTTAAAGATTTTGGGTTCTGTCCTATTATGAATTAGGAACCATGGAAGGTTTGTCCACATGGATGAACTAGTGGATTTAAGGATAATTTCCATAGCTAATTTCCTCCCAGCCAGAAAACATTTGGATGAACCTTTTCTTGAGTATATCAGTGAGTGAATATTCAAATATTTCAAAAGCAGAGAAGCCAAGTTGATTATTTGTAATCAACAAAAGGTATAGACAGACTCCCTTAAGCAAAATACTCACCATGTATAAAACATACCCTAATTGGTAAACGCTGTTATGGTATTTAAGACTTGCTGATTTTATCTTCACTGTCATGTGAAGGACATGTTCTTGCTATCACATGACATTCACAGACACAATGTCTGAGCATGAAGTTCCACTCAGATGACTATGTCACAAGCCAAGACTGAATTCAGATTATGAGAATTTGAGGTTAGAAGTATGACTCAAGTTACACTGAACAGTTTGAATCGACCTGGTTACCCGGAAGATCATCATATCTAAAGCTTTGCAAGCATACAGACAGCATGTTTTATGTTACATAAAAGCCAAGGACATTTCTATATTATTCTTTTGCTATATATTGTTGGATACCTTGGTTTATTTTGGGCCTTTTAAGTTTTAACTGCTTTACTCTGAGTTCTTTGGGAGTGCTTCTGTGTAGTCTCCTTTGGCCACAGGATTAAAAAGCAGCCCAAAGCACACCAACAGGCTTTCCTTAAGGAAACAATAAGCCTTGTCTGGAGATAGCCAGTTTAGAATAATGGTAGACAGTGGTTAGAGTCCTGAATGGGGAATGCAGAATTTGGAATTCTTGCCAGAGGACAGAGGACAAGGCCTCCATGTTTCCTTCACTTTATTTCTATATCTGGTAACCTTGGAGTTTGGAAACAACATCCTTTATGATGACTCTTTTTCTCTCCCGTAGTTTTCTTAGAGAACTTAGCAGAGGAAAATAATGGATTAGTAGCTGAGTCCTTACATTAATTACTCATACAAACATTAATGCTTTGGGATTTTTCTGGTAGACATTTTTCCCCGCTGGGGAATTTCAGGGTGTTACTGAACCTCTGGCAGTGTTTATCAATCTTTAATGTGCATATTATTCATGGAGGGACCTCATTAAAAAGCATATTGTAATTCATTGAGTAGGGTCTGAGGTTCTGTGTGTCTAAGGAACTTGCCGGCTGTATCATCTCTGCTAGTCCACAGACCACAGTGGAATCCGATGCTTGTCTGGCTTCTTTCTGTCACTGCAGATTGTCCTTATGTTTGCCTTGTGTAAGTCTTCTGAGCTAGTAGTGCTTGAATTTGCCATCATATAAGAATGACTGGTTCTCTAAATTCATACATTTTTTAAGAATGCTACCTTCAAATTGTCTAATAAGGCAATTAAATTACAATTAGGTTGCTATACATCCTTCTATCTCATTTTGACATGGCCATACTGCTTTGCTCCAAAGTGACAAAGAAAATGCACAATTAACACTCAGTCATTTTCACATATGTGAAAGGAAACTTTCCCTGTCTCTCCCTCTGCATTCCATCAAAGCTCGTCATAATCCATACTCTTTCAATGCATGCCAGGTTAATGTATAAAACCCTTCTTCCCTCTTCACTTCCCTGTGTTTTTCTTTAGGACATGCATGTCATTAGCACAGATGAGAATCAAGTGTTTGCAGCAGTTCAAGAATGGAACCAGAATGACACCTACAACCTCTACATCTCAGACACCCGTGGTGTCTACTTCACCCTGGCCTTGGAGAACGTCCAGAGTAGCAGAGGCCCTGAAGGCAATGTCATGATCGACCTCTATGAGGTATGTCACCAAGCATATGTGGTTCTGGAGAACAGCAGCACCAAGCCTAACTGGTGAAATATGGGTCATTTGATCATTTTTTTATTATTTAAATTTTTTATTCATTTTACATACCAACCACTCTCATCCCTCCTCCCTGCTCCCCTCAGCCTCTCTTCAACCCACCTCCCATCCCCTTCTTCAAAAGGGTGATCAGATTGGTGAATACCCTAACTGATAGAGCCTTCATCCAGTAACTGATGGAAGCAGATGCAGAGATCCACAGCCAAGCACCAGTCTGAGCTCTGGGAGTCCAGTTGAAAAAAGGGAAGAGGGATTCTATGAGCAAGTGGGTCAAGATCATTTGATCATTCTAATGCTGGTTCCTTAGAAAGTGTCCCTCAACTAAGAGGAGGAAAGACTTACAGAACATTCTTGTTTAATTTGCAACCATAGAGTTTTTTAAAGAGAATTTTTAAAAAAATTGATTCTGCTGGATAAGAGCAGCTCCAGAGAAATTGGAAAGTGTCTGTGGAGGAAATTACACATTAAAGACTTGCATACGATTGATTGTTCTACATATGATATGGTATTTGATATATGATAAGATATTTCAAAATATTTTCGGATGGCTGACAGGGTTTTATGTAATGAATCAGTGGGCGGCACTCTCTTACCAGACTCTGAAGTGTCATGGTTGGGGCATCATTGTATGCTATGAGAATGCATCCTGTTAGCCTTGAAGAACTTCTCAACTCAGCTGCCTAGTGACCCACCTCTCAATGGCCAATACGTGAGATAATATTCATAAGATTTTTTTTTTTTAGAAAATCCTGGGAAATTAAATTAACAGAAAAACACAACAATCCAGTGCTTACCAAACTTCCTTTGGAGCACTGTGGCTCTTTGCTTTTCTAATAAGCAATATTCAAAGTAAAATCATCTAAGTTGGATCAATCAGTTGTAATGAAAAACAGTACCAAAGATTTCATTATCTAACTTAGTTATAAACTGCAGTTGGTATTACTATGGTTACAAAGATTTCTACTCTAATAGAAAACATAATGGATTAGTTACAGACTTAGTATTTTTTCAGATAGAATATGGTATATCACTCCATTTCTTTAGAAAACAGAATTAATATTTTCACATCCTTTCCTCCCAAGACTTAGGGATCATCCAGAGGCAGTGGATGATTACAGGCAAACAGTGTTTTCTGGATATGACAGGACAGTTGTACACAGGAACTCACAGTGGCTGTTGACTGCACACATAAGACCTGCACAATATCAAGCCAGGGAAAATCTTAGCATGGATAAGGAAGGGACTTGCAAAGTCCCACCCCTAACTGAGGAGCTACAGCTACTAATGGCTGCAGGAGCAGTAAGGAGAGTTAGTCTTCTTCAGGGTGGAATTGTCTTTACAGGAACAATAGATAGAAAATAAGCTACTCTTTGAGGATGAATTTCATCTCTTGGTCAGTCTGGATGTATGGTGATGGATTTAGAATGAGTTATTTAAGAACATATTGAGTGTTAGAGAAATGTAGTAACAGACCTATATTCTATCTGGAAAAAAATTCTGAAATGGATTCAAATATATGCAGTCATAAAGACACTGCCATTTTGTTAGGCTCAGGGATTCACAAGAAGCATCAGTGTTATATCCAGTGACAAAGAAACCAACTTCACTTAAGAAACTAAAGCCCAAATGTACATGCTTCTAATGTGTTGCTTCTTCTTTCCTTCAGAAGTTTAGAGTGACATTTTTCCTAGTAGCTAAACCTCTTTTTGTGTGTATAAAACCAGGTTCATAGATTGGTATGTCCCCCAAAATAAAAAATAAAATTAATTGCATGTTCAATTGAGAATTTGACAGACTACTCTAGGATATAGTTAGTATATACATATATATATATATATGTATATATATATATGAAACATACTGCAGATCTTTTTATCTTTGTATAAGTTTTTGATCCCACTTTTCATTTCATGTTTCAGCTACATATAGTGTCCAATATCTCAACCTCCAATTGAACATTTATTCTGGAAAACATTTACATAGTTTAAAGATTTAGTGTCAAAAATGTTCTAGATAAAATTTGATTTGTATTATGACATTTTTAAAATCCAGGCTGTCTGAATTTGAGTTCTAGTTTACTGCTATTCCTGTTGAAGTGTATTCTCAAGACAAGTGCATACCTTCTATGCCATTTGTTTTGTTGAGAATATAGAGATGAAAATAGTACCCAGTAGATTGCTCCAAGGATGAAATCAGTTAATCCTTATTAACTACTACCATAATGCCTGAAATACAATGTCTTTAACAAAGCATAGAATTATTCGTATCATCTTGCAGTTGCCTAGACACCACTTAGCATTCTATTCTGATTATCTTAAAACATATCCACATTTTTAAATGCCCAGCACATTTCCAGCACTGGAGATTTCTGCTTCTTTCCATAATGCAATTCTTCTGACAATTTTAACACCGGGTACTTGTCTTGCAAATAAGTATAAATTTCAGCACTCCTTTCCTCATTTGTAAATGCCCTATGAACGTTTAAACTTGAAGAAGTATATTTTGTTGAAATGTCCTGAATTCTCTTGCCTTGAGCCAGCCACACGATAGACACATTTGTGAGTGTATATCCCATGAAAAGTCCTAGGAGCTGTGCCAGCTTAAAGACCCAGTTCAGTTTCTTGAGCCTAGTTCTATCCTTTGCCTCACAGCCCAGCTTTAATATATGGGAAGGTGCTTAATCTTTTTTTTTTTTTGAAAATGACCCATTTTTATTTACTGTTCATATAATTAGCTTTCTAGCTAACACAGGAATCGATTTTTAGCAAATATTTCCTTCACATAAAATACAATCTTTTCTATCAGAAAACAAAAATTTAAATATTCTAAATGTCTCGAGGACAGATACGCTGGATTTCATTCTTCTTCTTTTGTCGAGCACTTTTTTTATTTTATAAATGGGTGGTTTACATTTGTTGAAACTGCTATTTTCTTTTCTTTTTTTTCTTTTTAAAAGACTTATTTATTTATTTATTTATTTATTTATTTATTTATTTATATATTTATTATGTATACAGCATGTATGACTGTAGGCCAGAAGAGGGCACCAGATCTCGTTACAGATGGTTGTGAGCCACCATGTGGTTGCTGGGAATTGAACTCAGGACCACTGGAAGAGCAGTCAGTGCTCTTAACCTCTGAGTCATCTCTCCAGCCCAGTGCTTAATCTTATTGCAACTTGATATGCCATGTTTTGTTGATATTCATGGGAGACTTGCCCTTTCCCAGACAGAAGTGGAGGGGGAGTGGATTGCAGGGCTGGGAAAATTGGGGTGTTAGGGGAGAGACTGGGAGAAAAGGAACCAGGGGAGACTCAGACTGGGATATGAAATAAATAAATTAATTTAAAAAATAGAAAATAAAAGAGAGGAAAGAGTAGATAAAAAAATAATCAAACAAAAAACTGAAGAATATGTATCTACTCCAGGAAATCAGCTGAGTCACCCAAAGTGCCCTGCTGGGTATTTGTAGCCATATTTGACCGGAGAAGTAAGTAAATGGTAAATTTTAGTAAGATGCTAATATTAGTCATGTTTTGATTTATACAAATCAATAAACATCTCTGGAACACTAAAAACAAATGAAACAAAACACACTTTCAGGTTTTTTCTTCTTCCTGATTACCCCTTTCCCTTTTAATTCAAATGGGTTCTTCCCAAATCAGTTCAAAAATGGGTTCTCTTGATTAATTTTATTTTCTGTCAGAAATAAAGACCATATTCTAATATTGGTCCCTTGATGATGGAACAAATGAATAAACTGGGCAGGTTGTGAATAAACTATTCACAACCATTTTTTTTTAACACATGGCTTTATGAACTCAAACATTGCATAGGTGTGGGATGGGAAGAAGCAGCAACAGTCTGACTGCTGGACACAAGACCCACTCGTTGTTAATCCTGCATTTGCCCTTGTGTCTCTTGCTGTTGACTATCTGTAGGGAAACTGCTGGTTTTTGTTAGCATCACTTTGAGCAGTGGTGTGACTGCATTATGTAAAGGTGTTCTGCATCCCGGGGCGGGAAGAGAAGTGTCTTTGTTTTATTAGCTTGACAGTTCAGAGCAACGTGAATTGAAATTGATGTGAGCAGAACAGCAGTGGCATATCTACTGATTTCCTAGATAGGAAGAATATTGGCAGACTCTAGGCCTGGCACAAATGTTCCCTTAAATCTGATTGTTCTGGCGAGCAGGAAGCTGAAAGTCATCCAGTGTGAATTTCCCTGTAGAATTGCAATGAATGATGAGCGCTTAGAGATAAATGAAAAGCAAGAGAATCCATAAATGAATTAATAAGTAGCAGAGATGAACATCCTTTGAGGTGGGTATGACAGAGATAGGATCCATGGAGTGTGTGTCTGTTCACATTTGGGGTGCTGGAGGAGGATGCCATTCCTTTCTATGCTCCTGCTTACCAGTTACTTGTTATTCCTGCATGTGTGTGCTCATGAAGCCATTTCAGCAAATGCAAACTGTATGAGTATAAGTGTATAGATGGGACTGTAGCTCATGTATAAACACACACGGGGAACTTTGTGGAAAACAGAAAAGTAACTCAGTTCCTGTTAAATTCAATCATTTCTTTCACACACATTGTCACTTGGGTGCAACTGCTATGCTCTCAATTCTACAACTATGTGTGTATGCATAATGAGATATACAAATTATGAAAACAAAAAATTAGAGACAGTACTGTGGCTTAGTTAATGAAATATCAGAATTTTCTCATAGTATGAGTTATCTATTTGACATGTTCTCTATTCAAGGAGGTGTAGAAACGTGAGCCCAGAAATTCGGTTATGGGCCAAATATCCCAGAAATGGATTTTTAAAGAAAGTTTAGTGATAATAGTTAATATTTTGGGATGTCATGTACAAAACAATGTACAAAGAACTTTCCATGGTTCTTTTATTTGACCCATAAATGAACTTTGGATGA